CGCGCGCGCGGCGGGCGTGGCGGCGGCGGGCGCGGGGTTGAGGCCGGCCGCCTGCGGGTAGCCGAGCGGGGCGACGGCCTGCACCATCTCGCGGTCGTGCCTCACGATCTGCTTCAGGATCTCGTTCTCCTGGTTGTTGAAGACGCCCGTGTTCAGGTCCTTCTGGAACTTCTGCAGCAGGATGGAGTTCTTCTTCCCTGGCGGAGGAAAAGCACCGCAGGCACTGAGAAGGCCGGACGCGAGCAGACCCGACGGCGCGACGGCCCCGCGGGCTCCCCCTCCCGCTGCCCCCGTGGCCCGCCCTCAAGGGGCCCGAGTCGGGTCGGGGTCGGATGCGTGGGAAAGCGCCACGTGGGCGACCCTGAGCAGCGAGGAGGCCGGGCTCTGGGTCGGATGTGGACCTCTAGGAGGAAGGCTGTGGGCCCTGGAGCTGAGGGTCCCGCTGCGCTCTGGGCCGCAGGCACACGGAGGCTGCCACTGCAGATTGCTGGAGCTGACCCGACCTCCCAGGGCGTGTAGCTACGGCCCCTCCTTTCCTAAGGGGGACGTGCAGGGGACATGCAGAGGCCCCGCTGGGCAAGCGCGAGGGCGACCTGAGCTGGCCTCAGCTGGCCACGCCAGGCCCACCCGGGTCGCCGGGCCTTGCACCCTCTGGGGCCTGAGCCTGGTGACGCTGCGCTGTAGTGCACTCCCAGAGTTACGTGGAGGCCTAACACACCACGTGGGCCTTGCCACAGTGGGAGCCGCCGCGTGCCTGCAGGACCTTTCCTCTCCTAAGCCACGGCTGCAGGATGCAGCGCCCCAGCAGGGGCTCAGAGCGCCGGGGTCTAGGCCAGTGCGCGCTCCTCTTCCTGCCTGCCTTGCTGGGGTGGTCTGTGATCACCAGATTCGCTGGCACAGTAAGAAGTGGACTCAGTGCCAGAAGGGAAAGGCGGTGCCCTCGCTGACGCTGTGGTGCCCAGTGAGTGCAGTAACCCGGAGGGGACATCAGTCCACTAGGCTGTCAGGACAGTCTATAGAAAATGAAGTGTGGACATGGATTTCCCCCCCCCCCAAAATGGAAAACATGCCTTTGACTGATGAGAAAAATATTTCAAATTACTGGCAAAGTAGTTACTCTCATTCTTTAAAAATTGTCCCAGTTTCCCAAAGTGAAAGCTCCTATATTAGTGATAAATGTGAATGTTTATTCAAGATGCCCTCTTAGCTAACTACAGCCTACAGTTATAAGCACTGTTTCTTTTTAACCACGTGAATACTCTTTGTATCTACAATCTTGGAAAGAATCCGTCTTTCAGAGTACTGTTATGGTGGTATAAGGGTACAATGCAGATAATTGGTGCTTGCTGGCAATTTTACGTTCCACATTGCTCACTGCAAACCACTTCCAACAAAAGTCTTCAGTCAATCCAGTGTAATAATTTAGATGCAAGGGAACTATCAGAAAAACAGAAATCCTTTTCTGGGGCATGTCAAAGTTTATGCCTCCTCTAAATGTGTTTCTCTGATTTAGGAAAAACTCATATATTAAGAATCAGCCTCTTTGTCTAATATAAAATCACACCACAAAAGGGCAAGTTCATTTGAAGTTATACAAAGATGTTTTTAGGACCACCTCTTTTATTGTCACTGCTCTCTAGCATGACTGTTCTCTTCTCTAGTGTTCTCTAAGCGTTGGTGTGAATTCTTCATATGTTCATTAGGCCTGCTGACATGTTCAGATGCTACCTTTATTTGTTCATTTTCATCTAAGTGTAGACCCTCACCACAATGCTGAGGCACAGCGAGGTGTTAGAGCTGAACCAGTACTAGAAAGTGACTCAGTCTGAGTTCTAACCTCCAGTGAGAAGGGGGCAGTGGCCGTACCTCATGCTTACTTCTAACTGTCCCCAGCCCATCTCCTTTGAGTCCAACTGGCACACCTCATTCCCTCCCTTTCTTCAACTAATATTCATTGTGTGCCGGGTACCACCAAGGTGCTGGTGAACTAGACACAACCTCTCCTCACACACACTTTAGCATCTCCAGAATAAGGGCCGCAACCACGACCTCCTGAGGCTGCAGGTGAACCTATCAGGGAGCTCAGCGGGAGGGGTGGTAGGAAGCCGGTGGAGCATGGTGTGGTGCAGCGATCGGCACAACGGGGTTATGGGGGCTGAAGCTAAGGCAGAAGGGGGTGAGGCGGGTCAAGAGGAAGGCTTGGGAGGCAACAGCAGGCTATCTGCTTAGGACCTACTGAATGAGTGTTCCAGGTTATCTAGGGAAGTCAACAGCAAGCCAATCTGATCTAACTTTACTATGCAGTTATGTAACTCTTTGAACTAGCAAACTAACCTGGATATATATATATATATATGGTATTTGGTAGCTGAAAAGACTTTTACATGTGTTGATGTTTGCAAATAGAACATCTATGTAATGCAGTTCTACGAAGGCCTCTTCTGCTTGAGTCTGTATTACAAACACTTCAGTAAGCATCTTCTGAGACCAACTGTAATGCAAATCTTCTCAATTTTAACATAAGGAGAAAATATAAAGCTGGCCCTTGAAAATAAGTGTAGTCCTTGTGATAAAGTTTAGTTTGTAATGTAGACTCATACTACGCTATCTTTAGTTCTAATATCATGTTATCTAGAATTTGTCTTATGCTTTTTACCTGAAGATTCAGACTGTTGTGGTATCGCTTGGGATATGAGATTGTTTCTCTAGTAAAAACAGAGATGAGTAAACAAATTGGGAATACTCAAAACACCAGGATAGACAGGATCTCAGATTTCCCTAAAATACAGCTATGGCTAATTGCTATTTCTACACAAGTAATAAGCAAGCTATGGGTGACCATTTGGGATTTGAGATTAAGAATGGAACTGCCCCACCCGGTTACAACCGAACTGCGCGTGCGTGAGGCCCGAGCGCTGGGTACCTATCCGGTCCAGCCGGTCGATGGCGACTGTCTCAAAAGCTCTTCGCATCATTGGGTACTCCTCCAGAACCTCATTGAAATTGTCCACAGAGAGGGAGTAAAGACGACAGTATGTATCGGCACGAACGCTGGCGGTGCGGCGCCCCTTGGTCAGCAGGCAGATTTCTGTAAAAATGCCAAAGAATCATTTGCTTGGTAATTTTCTTTCACAAGCTATTAACTCCTGCTAGCATTAAAAAGGAAAAGCCCCACGACGGCATGTGGACCCAGCGAGCCGCAGCATTCTGCATTGGACCAGGAAATGCACTCTGGCAGTGAAAAGTATCCAGTTATTAATGCCAACTTAAAAATAATAATCTTTTAGTTTTAAGGGCTGGCCAAATAGCTTAGTGGATTAAAGCGCCTGAAAGCAGGCTGAGGGGCTGGGGTTCAATCCCCGGGACTGCTGTGCCGGCCCTGCCCCCAGGGCACGCTGAGAAAGCAATTGAGACTGGACGTGGTGGCGAGCGCCTGTAATCCCAGCTCTTGGGAGGCAGTAAAAACTGATGACTTTGGTTAACACAGAAGATTTACCTGTCCTTCAACCCGTACTCCAATGACCCTTAAATAAGAACAGCTATAAAAATGCAGAGAGGAAAATTTTAAAATGAAAAGGAAACATAACAATTCTGAATTCTAGGATGCAGAAACAGATGGTCTGACATGGACATAAATGGGAGGGAGTCCACACATCTGCTTAGGGAATCCTGTGATCCAACAGAACTGGCCCAAGGTTCAGATGAGTGTACTACAAGGTGCATTAGTGTACCAGCATGCTGTCTGTATTCCCAGTGAGAAAAGGGAAAAAAATTATACACATGTCTGCAGTGACTGCTGTAGTGGAACATTTCCCCAAATTTATTTATTTATTTATCTGCATACATTTATTTTTATTTAATTTTCAATCAGATTTTATTGGTATATTTTAGATATACGTAATGATCACATCCATCAGAGAAAATTTGTATCTTACGTGATATAACTTTTTTCCCCCATTCCCTACCCTTCAACCACCCTCACCTACCCATTTACAAAAAGCTTTGTTTTCATGTTTTCCTGTTCTCATTTCTTTTACTTTTCCTTTCTTTTCCCTCTCTCCCTTCTTTTGTTCCTCTTCCCATTTGAATATTTTCTTCCAATTTCACAATACCTATTATATATTTTTGTCCTTATTTATACTTTTGGTTTTTCACACCAGAGAAGAGCTGCAGTATTTACAGGTGTTTCCAATTTATTTCATTTAAAAGTATGCTCTCAAGGTACATCTATTCCCTAGAAATGACTCGAGCATATCCTTTACGGACGAGTAATACCGTATTATATTTAAAAAAATCAACAAAGCCAGGCATGGTGTTGCACAGCTGTAATCCCAGCATTTGGGAGGCTGAGGCAGGAGGATCATTGGGAGTTCAACCAGCCTGAGCGGCAAAATGAATGCAAGGCCAGCCTGAGCTGCATAGTGAGATGCCGTCTCTCTCTTTTTCTATTTAATTAATTTTTTGAGAAACAGATAGCAATGAGACAGTTTCAGACAGATAGTGAGGTTAAGCCCAACTGCACATGTTGTAGGGTAATAATAAGCTTCTCTTCTGGAGGGTTAACAACCTAAGTTTGCAGACCAAAAATTAGAGAAGTAGAAGGGCTGCAAGGAAGCCAACATTTTGGCCCTAGCCTTTCAAGGTCAGTGAAGTCTCAGAACATAGGAGAACTTATACTGTAACATCATGTAACTCAGTTGTGTCCCAAATTTTCTGATCAAGGAGATTATGGGGCCACATAGGAAAGTGATCGACAATGTAGAGTGTGCCTAAGGAGAGTCACATGGAGAAAAAACATTCTCTCAGACTTTCACAGAGATCAAATTGGTCAAGCAATGGCTGTGACTCATCCACGCTGACAAAGGATCTGCAAACTGTGGTACAGGGTAACAGGATAAATCCTGAGGAGATGTGACTGACCTTGGCAGATACAAACGTTACATTTCTTATTATATAGGTCTTGCTTTATCTTGGTCTTAACAATCCAGCAGAAAAGTATAAGAACAAGCTATAAAAAAATAAAGCCATATTAAATACTGAGCTGTAAAAGACTCAGATCAACAACTTCTGACATTACCAGTCCTATGGATAACCCACTACTATAATGGACTACTGGACTATATTGGATTATTTTGCTGAATTCTACGTACCTACAATATTTAAATGGCAATGGAATACCCATCTCTAACAAAACTAAACAAAAAAGGGGACAAAAAGAAAGGACCATTTTGTATCTGTATATACAAAATAGTTAGAATAGATATACAGCCACTTTTGCTTAATTCATTGAGAAGATTTGTACTAATAGTATTTGGACAGGATATCATGTCTGCATCTTGTACTATGAATAACCACTAAGCAGATAACAATATGCAATGTATTAATTATTGAAACTGTCATTAATTGGTTTTGAAACTGTCTCATTTCCCGAAATTTACATTTCATCTTTGTATGTCTTATTTGGACCTTTGGAGCTTTTACTCTCCGAATGCCATCCACTTTTCTCTATGTGCTACCTTGTCTTCGCGGCCTTCTCTCCCGCTCTGGCCCCTCTCTGGCAGCGGGCCGACGTCCTTCTTTATCACAGTACTCATGAAGATAGGCACACACCGCGTGCGACGGCCAATGGACTGCTCAGTTGCAGTAAGTGAAGCTTCACTAAGTCCGCTGGGCAACCTCACACCCCGGGAGGGGAGGGCGGCCCACCGCCGGGAAGGTGCGAGGGGAGAGGGCAAGGACCGACCTGCATCTGCTGCTGAGAGGCGCCCTCGGCACACTTCCTCACCGGACTGTGGGCAGCCGCGTAAGCCGGTCCTGTAGCCTCCCACACATTTGTGTATCTAGTGTCGTGTCAGTCTCTCTCGTCAACGCTGGCATACACAGAAAACTTCTGTAACATTAATGGTTCACCGAGAAGCAGGGTGCGAGAGTGCTCCTTTACTCCACTGATAAGAAGTCTGCAGGAGCTGGAGGCCCTAGATGCAGGTAGCACATCCACGATCCAGGAGCAAGGAGCAATGGCTGCTGGGATTGCATCGGCTCCATGAATTGTTCTGAGTACTACGAGCCAGCTAGCATTGGGAAGACTGACCCTTCCAATCATGAACATGGGAGGCCTTTCCACCGTGTGTGTGTGTGTGTGTGTGTGTGTGTGTTTCAATAAATTTCACCAGTTTTGTTATTTTCACTTTGGAGGTCTTTAAATACCTGTTAAACTGCATTCCTAGGTATTTAATTTATTCATCGCTCTCATTTCCTCCTCAGCAGTACTGATATTGGTATATAAAAGTTTAGTGACTTTTGTATGTTGATTTTATATCGTGCAATTACTGGATTTGTTTGCAGTTCTCATAGAATTTCTCTTCAATATACAGTGCTGAGAAAACAGGACACTGACATACACCAGACTGAAAACTGAATGCTGTCTCTCACACTACACACACGTAAGTTGAAATTAGATCAAATACCCAAATGCAAAATACAAAACTAGTACAAAAATAGAGGAACATATTTAAAATATTGGCTGGAGCAAGAAGTTTTGGACAAGACCACAAAAGCAGAGTCAAGAGAAGCAATTAGGCAATGTGACCACATCAAGCCAGGAAGATGCTGCATAGCCAAGGACAAAAGGGGAGTGAGGAACTTCAGACTGAGACAAGACACTGCAGACTATGATGTGCCAAAGGATTAAGACAAAGGATCCAGAGATGCAAGGACTCGAAAGCTTAAGAACACCTACATCAAACAACTTCCACTTAAAAATGGACAAGTGCTAGGGACAGAATTTGTCAAAAGAATAAATTCAAATGTCCAACGAATTTAAAAAAGTTGCTCAAATCATTAGGTGTCAAGGAAATTCCAGCAAAGACACCAGTAGACCCCAGGTTGCCCCACTCGGAACGGCTATCACCAAGTGCACTGAGGACAACAAATGCCCAGGTAGACACTGAGTAGGGAGCATGCTTCTACACTGAGGGTAGGAATGTGAATTAGTACATTGAAGAGCCGGCCAAATAGCTCAGCAGATTAAAGCCCCTCTTAGACACCTGCAGGGCCGGAAGTTCGATCCCCTGGCCTTCTGTGCTGGCCCCGCCCCGGGGGCATGCTGAGACTGCAATTAAGACTGCAGTTGAGACTGGGTGTGGTGGTGCACACCTGTAATCCCAGCACTTGGGAGGCTGTAAATAGGAAGATCACTATAAGTCCAATCTACACAGTGATACCTTGTACACCCTGTAGACCCTATCCTAAAAAAAAGAAAAATTAGTACATTGATTCTGGAAAATATCAGAAGCTCCTCAAAAGACCTAAAACGTAATCAAGCAGTCCCACTACAAGGTATATACACAAGTGAGTTCAGTACACTGAAGACACATATGTGCTCCCAAGTTCACGGCAGAACTCTACAATAACCGAGCAACAGGAAGCAAGCTAAGTCTCCATCAGCAACACAGAAAATGTGGTACAATCTACAAATGCAATACTGCCATTGGCGACAAGGAGGGAGCTGGTTACAATAAGGTTATGTGAAACAGCCTAAACATGGACAGGCAAGTGCCTCGTGGTCTCAGTCACACGTGGAATCTAAATTAAACTCATTGGTATCCAGAGCTGATTAAATACCTAGCGTGGGCGAGACTGAGCAGCAGGCGCTAAGAGACACTGAGCCCTGGGCGCTGAGCTGATGGGCGCAGCTCAGGAGCTGACTCCAGGCAACACTCCCGTGCTCCCATTTCAGAACCTGGAAGAAAGGGTTTCAAGTGCTTTCATCATGAAAAAATGATAGATGTTGGAGAAGGCGGATGTGCTCAGCCAGTCGGCAGCACTGTGCAGTGTATCCGTGCACGCAACGTTAAGTAGAGCCACACTGATAAGCATATTTTAACTTCGATGCACTAGTTAAGGGGTCCAGGCGTCTGAGGGTGAGAGGCGAGGGAATGAAGGGGAACTAGGGTGGGGGAGGGGAAGGAAGAGAGGGAGACGAAAAATGAGAGGAAAAGGAGCAGGTGGAGACAAACTTTTGTACATAAGGCAGGGAAGCAGGGTTGAAGGGAGGGGAGGGAACAGGAGTGGAAAAGAAAATCAAGA